TTGTTGTTAAACACGTGTTGTTGTTAAACACGTATTGTTGTTATTTGTTATACATGTGTTGTTGTTATTTGTTAAACGCATGTTGTTGTTATACATGTATTATTGTTGTTAAACACGTGTTGTTGTTAAACACGTATTGTTGTTATTTGTTATACACGTATTGTTGTTATTTGTTAAACACGTGTTGTTTGCAGCAGCAGAACTCAGATGTGACTGTCAGAATAAAAGCCTCAGCCTGAGCAAAGCAAAGTGAACTCTGAACAAAAAAAGTTGTGTCAAATTAATAAAATATCAATAAATTATAAAAACTATATAAAAACACTTCCAAGTTTTGTTTCATTTTATTACTTTGATTTAATTTGATTGGATTTATTTGGCTTTATAATTCCGCTGCTCTGTCAGCTTTTTCACCATTTACCTTCTAGACACTGTCCTTTGAAGAACACCTTCTGCTCCAACCTGAACTTCTCCAGCTGCTCAGTGGAGGAAAAGTTCAGTTCTCTGGACACAGCTTTACATTTAAGGATCTTCTTTGGGACACGAGCTGAGGGGGAAATCAGACATCAAAGTTAGTCGCGCAAAAAGCCAAAGCCAATTCTGAACAAAAAACAATAGCAAAGGACCTGATAAGAGTGACTGAAACCAATCTACGCCACGTTTTTTCCTTCTGAAAGACACTTGCCAAGAAAAATCTGGCATTTCCGATATTAAAAAAATACAGTCAACCCCTGAAATCTGCGATATGTTCATGGATCAACCGTGACTCATCGAAAACTGTAAAAAAAATAAAATAAATTAATAAACCCCTCTAAATGTCCTTTTTGAGATCTTTAACACTAAAAATGATGCACCTTTTCTTAGGTTTGAGCTGCCATTTTCATTGGGGTAATTGAGGTACAACGAATACAGAGTACAAATGAAGATGAAGGTGCTTTAGTTGTACAGGTAACACAGTATTACCCTATTGTAGCATAACTTTTTAGTTCCTGAACAAATCCAGTAGTTCAACTATTTCTCGTAGTATCTTAAACTTCTGGTGCTTTGGTTCATTATCAGAAGACTTAGAAGCTGCTGGGCATTGGAGCTCCATCTTAAGGCTTTAATGTCACTTCTCAGACTCAGGCTCCCTGTCAGGACTCTGGGACTGCACCCCATCCTCACTCATGAATGAATTATTGAATGGATGGATGAATTAATTAATTAATTCGAGGAGCCACAAACAAAAACAAAACAGTTTTGTTTGTGGCTCCTCGGACTGAAGAAGTCCTTTGGATGAAGGACAAAACGTCTCAGTAAAAAGAAAAGAAACTGTCCAGATGACCTGACTGAACATTGTTGGCGTTGTAACTGGATTATTGAGCATGAACTTTGGTGTAATGATGCTGGGCTGCATCTGCTTGGGGGGTGGGGGGGGGGGGGGATGTCACAGGGCAAGTATTATATATGGAAATTAGCCTCATGTATGTTAGTAATTGAATTACAAAAATAATTCATTTTAATGTTCTGAATAATTTAGTCCTTTAAATACATGTAAAACTAATTTTTCAATTAACTTTGAAAAAGTGGAGGATATTTGCAGTTTCCGTGAACGTGCGAGAACTTCCACCAACATTTATTAGATAGGCTTTAAGAAAAAAAATCTGCCAACAACTGAGACTGTGACCTCTGAACTGAAACTTTGTGGGGGTCAACTGTAACACCACCTTGCATACGGTCTACAGAAACGTGTTCCTGTTTAAATCCAATGGAAACCTTTGCATGCGGTCTACACGCAGAAAGAACAGAGGTTTACAGAGACAGTCTCAGGAGGAAAGTGTGGTGTGAATAACTTCATTTATCCCGTTTATGGGACAGACTGAGGAGTAAAGACCTTAACCTGAACTCTAAGGTAAGACTGAGGCTGCAGTGTGAGTTTACCTTCATGTTCCACTCCTGGTACAGACAGATCTTCTGTTCCCTGCCACAGGACCTTACCCGTCTCCGCATCCCGAAGATTCATCCAGTTTCTACCAACACAATGTTAAGGGGCAACAAGCAAACTCAAAGAATAGAAATGGACACTTTTAGAATATTCAGGACTGAATTATCATTGTCATCAAAGAAAAGCATATTTAAATTAAGGCGGGGCATTCATTGAAAGAATGCATATCACTCCATCTTTTATGCCAGAGTTTTAGACTTGAATCATTTTATGACAATAATTTATTTAAAAACATATTTGTGATATTTTTGATCAGAATGTCATTTAGTCCCCACGTTAAAATGTTACCAGGACATTTGTCTTCCACCTCAACAAAATCAATAAAATTAGAAACATCTTGTCCAAAAATTATGCAGAAAAACAGGTCCATGGCTTTATCATGTCTAGGCAGCTGGACTATTGGAAATGTTTATTATACGAGTGTCCAGAATATTTTTTTAAAGTCTGCTGCCAGAGTTTTAATGACAGTTGGTAGGAGAGATCCCATTTCTCCAGTTTTAGCTGCTCTCCATTGGTTCCCTGTCAAATTCAGAATTCAAATCTTAATTCTAACCTACAAAGACCTCAACAACCTAGCTCCAGCTTATATTACAGATCTTACTGTTCCATACTTTCCTAACAGAGCACTTTGCTCTCAGACTGCAGGTTTACTTGTGGTTCCAAGAGTTTCCAAAAGAAGAATGGGAAGCAAAGCTTTCAGTTATCAGGCTCCTCTCTTGTGGAACCAACTTTCAGTTTCTGTCTGTGAGGCTGACACTTTGTCTACTTTTAAGATTATGCTTGTCTTTCCTTTTGATAAATCCTATAGTTAGGGTCGGTTTGAGTTTCCTGAGCTATCCTTTAGTAATGCTGCTATAGGCTTAGACTGATGGGAAACAAACTGACCACATTTTTTCACAAAGCTGCTGTCTTTCTTCTTCTTTCAGCTTTTCCCCTCTTCAGGGGTTGCCACAGCGAGTCACCCTCCTCCATCCCACTCTGTCCTCTGCATCCTCTGTCCTCACTCCAACTACCTCCATGTCCTCTCTAACGGCATCCTATATCTTTTCCTGGCAGCTGTATTTCTAACATCCTTCTACCAATATACACACTATCCCTTCTCTGGATATGTCCAAACTTTATCTCTCTGTCCTTCAAGCTGTGCTGTACCTCTGATTATCTCATTCTTAATCTTCTCTATCCTTGTCACTCCTAAGAAGAACCTCAACATCTTCATTTCTGCTCCTTCCAGTACTATCTCCTGTCTCTTTGTCCATGTCTCTGTCTCCAGACCACAAAACATAGCTGGTCTCATCACTGTCTTGTAAACATTTCCTTTAACCTTTGTTGCCATCCTTTTGTTGCAAATCCCTCCTCAAACTTTTCTCCATCCACTCCATCCTGCCTGGACTCTCTTTTCACCTCATTACAACATTTCCCATTTTCCTGCACAGTGGATCCCAAGTACTTGAAGTCCTGCACCTTTGTGACATCTGCTCCTTGTGGCCTCACAGTTCCACCAGCCTCCCTATATGTACTCTGTCTTACTATGGCTGACTTTCATTCCCCTTCTTTCAAGTGCATAACTCCACCTCTCCAAGTTCTCTTCCACCTGTTCTCACCACAGATCACAATGTCATCTGTGTAGTGTCCAACCACGTTCCTCAGACATCCATAACTTCTCCTCAGAGATGGCAACTAAAAACTCTTATACCCCCTTTCTATGTGACTCCTTCCTGATACAGGCCCCAAGACTGTATTGTAACCCTCTGTGTTAATTATAGTCCCGGTGGCTAATCAACCCTGCTTCCTGAAAGACAAACTTTGTGTCCACAACAAGAAACTATATCAAAGAAAAGGTCTGAACTGTGTCGTACCCCCACCAACAAGAACTTTGGTTACCATGGCAATAAGTGGAAGTTACCACTTTAACACAAAGGTTCAAACAGGACCCTTGCCATTTTCAAGGTTGTGTGAGAAACCAAACTTGCAAGGAAATTGTGTTTTTTCTAAAAACAATGTGTTATCATTTAAACAAAAGCCATAGTTTTTCTTTCTGAAACGTTGAGAAGGAGGAGTTATAATTAAAATTAATTTATGCAACTTGGTTTACTCCCCACTGTTGGTAAGTTGCATCGATTGGATACAATTTACATAGACAGTGTAGGTGCAGGGCAGCTGACTCGGGACCCGAAGATCCTAGGTTCGATCCCTGGTCATTGCACATCTCGTGGTGTCTCTGAGCAGGACACCCCTTCCCCAGTTGCTCCCCGAGCGCCTCCAAAGACCGCCCACTGCTCCACCTGGTGGTGGATGGGTTAAATGCAGAGAGCCAATTTTACCATTGTATGGGAACATACAGGGGCGGCTGTGGCCGAGTGGTTAGAGCAGTCGTCCACCAATGCAAGAATTGGGGGTTCGAATCCACCAGCAGTCACATGCCGAAGGCAAGACAATGAACCCCTCATAGCCTCTGATGTGTGTCCCATCGGTGTATGAATGTGATAAAGCTCTGATTAGTCTCATTAGAATGATTTGTTCAATTAGCTTTGTAGAGATCTAGTAGAGTGCTGTATGAATGGGTAAATGAGGACACAGATTATAGTGTAAAGCGCTTTGAGTATCTTGACATAAGATAGAAAGGCGCTATATAAGTACAGTCTATTTACCATTTACAATGATGACAATACATACACATAGGGATGGGCGATATAAACCTAAATGAGTATCTCAATATTTTTAAGATAAATCACGATATACGATATATATCTCAGTAAATTTTTCTTTCCATAAAGTAATAACAAAAATATATTTCAGAATCAAAGCTTTGTCCCAGTTGTCACACAGGCAAATTGAGTAACAACAGCTGTAACTGTACAAAATAAATTTCTAAAAAACAAACTATTTACATATATTAAAATTTGTTTTTTTTAGGCATTTATTTGCATATACAAGTGGTTTCAAGACATTTGATAATGTCCACAGAAAAATCAAAGCAAATATCGTTTTTAGTATTTCACCCTGTTTTACAGCACCCCGATTTATTAATAAATCTGAAGTCTGATTCTAATGAAGTAGCCTATATTCATTCAACCTTTAATAACCTTTATTAACAAAGCTCTGATTCTGACACTGAAAGTGCAGAGCTCAGGTGGAGGTTTTTTCTCTCTCATCCTAAACTTTTTAACACCTATCAGTTCTCTCCCACTGTGAGCCAACAAAGATATCTGTATATCTAAGCTCATCTTTGTAATTCCAATGGAGCCTTTAGGTGCTGCAAGCGGCGGGGGAGGGGCAGGTTTGTTATCAGTGAGGGAAAAGAAGGAGGGGTGGCATTCAGGTGACTGGGAGGAGAAAACTGGCAGTTCTATGTCATATAGGCTTCGCCCTTTAAGGCTGTCGCTGATGGGTTTATCCCGTTATGCGCAAGCATCGTACTGAAAAAAATTAGTCCACGCCCACCTGCTGTGTGGGCCCCACCCGATCCGTATAAATTACGTTAAGAGCGGGTAATCTGCTCCCAGTTTTTCTTCAGCAAGCATAATAAACAAGAATAAACTGACCTTTTTCGTCGAGATGTCCAGCTCCAGCACCATCCGTTTGTGTCCCTCGTGCAAGACCGGCTACTTGCTTAGCTTCGACTGGCACGACACCTGCGAGGGATGCCTGGGTCCCCGCCACGTCGCTCGCGCTTCCTCCTGCCGCCTCTGTGACGAGCTTCCACCGGAGGAAAGACAGAGGAGAGCAGCCTTGTTTAAGGCTACCATCGAGGACTGCCTGTCCGTGGCGGGAGACTGTTCGCTGGACGACGCCATGGATTTCTTCGACGCCGGCTCTCGGAGTGAATCGGATGATTCCTCTGGGACCGGTGACGCTAGCAGCAGCCCCGACGCTCGTTCCCTCCCGGGGAGCGCAGTGTTGGAAAGAGGGAGGCCGAGCGGATGCTCGACTCCCCCGGGGTTTCCCGCCTCAGCGACCACATCGCTCCCTGCCGTGGGCGCGCTCCTCTCGGAGCTGCCCGCCATTATCCGGGAAGCTGCTAGCGTTAAGGGGCTCTCCGTCCCCTCACCCCCCCCGCTCAGATCGGATGATCTTGCGGGAAGGTTTGGCTCCACGCCGGCTCGCCGTCCTGATCCCATTTGGCCTCGTTTTCCTGCGGTGACAGCGTACTGGAACGAGGCCGCAGCCGGTCCTGGTAGGTTAAGGGCGCCCGTCTCCACTTACGCCCCCATCACCAGAGTGGAGGGGTTCACCGAGCGGGGCTTTCCCTCGGTACCCCCCCTTGAGCCAAGCCTCGCGGAAGCCTTCGGAGCGAAGATGTCCAGGCTGGAGAAGCGTCCCGTCCCTCCGGGGAAACACGACCAGGTGGCGACCGCGCTCTCCAACAGAGCCCACCAGTGTGCTTTTCAGGCGGCCGCGGCTAACAACAACGTGGCGCTGTTAGCATTTAGCATGTCAAAGAGGCTGGAGGCCTCAGACCTGCCGGAGGAGACGAAGAGCTCCCTGTGTAAATCGGCAGACGCCGTCCTCAACATGTGCGCCGCTTCCACGGTTTGCCTGTCGAGGATTGCTTCATGGATGACGGTAATCCAACGCTCCATCTGGCTCCGTCACTCTCCATTGCTGCCGGAAAAGCTGCACAAGGACCTCATGGAGGGCCCCATCTCATCGGACGCGCTGTTCGGAAGCAGCTTGAAGACCATGCTGGCGAATTCCAAGCAGTCGGAGGAGATGTCGGAAGCGGTACGTCATCTCATCAAGCCGCGCGGCTCATCCCGTCCCCCAGCTCGCTGGAAGGATCGTCGAGAGCAGAGGCAGAAGCACCGACGCTCCACGGCAGCAGCAGCTTCGTCTCGCCCAGCTCCACCACCAGCCCCGCCCGCCAGAGACCACCCCTCCTCAGCCCGGCAGCCTGCACTTCAGCGTTTCCCCAGAGATCGCCTGCAGACGGCGCTCGGGTCAAACAAACCGCAGAGCTCACGAGGGAGAAGGTTTAAGAAATGACGGTCTGCGGGGGATGTGTGTATGAACGAAACAGGAAGTGAA